GGGTGGGTGAAAGGGGTTGAAAGGGGCGTGTGATCCAGAACCGGCTCTTCTCTACTACTACACATGTAAGTCAAACTTACACGAGAGCGTTCGTTTAGCCATCACGTGATCCTCGTGCCTGCCCTGGTGTCAGCCACTACTACCCCGGCTGGTTGAGCGGGTCTCTGGAGGCTGCCCGAGTGTAATGAAGGACTGTTCGTGCATGGACGTACGTGATGGAATGTGGCGGGGACTTGACCTTTTTCCCAGAATGCCTTGGCGAGTACACTGCAGCGTTCGATTACCCTCATTTCTAGGCTTCCCTTGAGTGTAACACTGCTGTATTCAGGGAAGTTAATCGAACGCACCCAAAATTAGCACTCCCAGCTGTTGGTATGTTCAGCGTGATGGTGCATTCCTTACGGGGGGGTGCTGGGCCATGTCTATTGATGTAAAGTACCAGAGGTACAATGGTCTGCTTTTAACATTCCACTGATTGTCTGCTTGCAGAGTATACAAGGCCCATATGTGACTACCACTAGGGTTAGTGAGCGTAGCGGTACATTCCTTGTTTTGCGTCAGTGAGGCCCCAGGTTGAGCCCCGGCTTGGCCCAGGCTTTAAGTGCATTTGGTTTCCAGTCCATACTCGCTCTCGCAGGTTTTCTCCGGGTACTGCGGTTTCCTCCTGCCCGTAAAACTGGACCTTTGTCCTTACTCCGTATATTGTAATGTGATGCTGATTAATAACCTGAGATGCTGAAAGGCCTATGTGTTGTGATGGTAATGGTGCATAGTGTTGTGATGGCAGTCTACCTTTTCAAGATAAACTAGTCAAGCATGCAGCACCCGCACGTAGTTGAAGCTGCCCGTTGGAATATATGCGATCACCGTGGCCACGGCAGTCCACATGTGGTGGTATTGTTTACCTTTGGCGCAATCCAGTCACGTGGGTAAAAAAGGTCTTTCCTAAAGGGATGGCTGACTGGGGAAGCCTGAGCAACGTAGGTCCGACTTAATTCAAGTCACAGACCTGAAGGAAGGAGAGATTGTGCATTTGAACCCTGAACATCATCTCCACGTAGCCCAACACATCATTGTTACCTATTCAAGCTCTCTTACTGCAAGCCTTTCTACTGTAAGCTCTGCAGCTACTTGCCAAGACAAGTCAAGTCATCCCCAACTTCAACGCATAGATCATCTTCAAGCTAGGCCCTTTTCTTATTTTCATTGTTAATTCGTAATTATTTTCTGTTAAATAGAATCCCTGAGTTTTTCTCCTTGTTAAATACATGTATTCTTCGTACAGCGTACGAAAACTTTTCACTACCTTTACTGGAAACGAATTAATCTTCACTGGTTGGTTTGTAATAAAAGGCGTAAACTAGTAAACAAATAAATAATGTAAGCAGGTGTCATGATTCTCATACCATGACCGCTGTAGGCCAAGTTTAGTGTTGTAGACCACACGCGTGTTTGGAAACAGACTATGCGCATGTCTGTGGTAAGCGTCAGTTTGTTTTCATCCTTTTTGTCGACGACTTGGTGTCATGACTTGTTTTGTAATAGGCTTAAACACAGATGACTGTAATCGACCCCGTTTCCTTCCTGTGTTGCCCACCATAAGGTAACTGATACCATCGGTAAACAGAGGACGTTTCAATGTTGTTTATGTGTTTGTCTTTCGCCCACGATGGGGGAAACAGCGCGTTCTGGCATTATGGGTGTACGTGCTGCCAACGTGGAGGCATTTAAGTGTAACTGTACTGAATTACTGCAGACCCAATCTGCAACTTCGTTCTCTTCTTCAATATATAAAATCTGAGATCGCGGCCCGTTAGGTTAAATGTACAGTATCTACCATTATCTAAGAAACACTGGTCCCGTTTTTTTACTCATTTCTTAACACGGAACTGTGTCAACTAGGTTTGTATTAACAAATTAGGGTAATAATATAATATAGTTTCGCTTGATGATTCCTTCTGTACGACTAAACCAATGACAGTCATAAAACAACTCTTGCATAATTCCTACCATAGAGTAAGGACACATACACCCAGTAAACCTCTTATCTGTGGACTGCCCGCCACCGCTGCTTCCCCCACAATCCCCATAGAAGGTGTACAAACAGAAAAGGGTCACTATCTATACTGACCCGGAGCGCTGGTGGCTCTCTGTCAGTGTCAACTAATAAAGTTTGAACAAGGCCAAATTGTTTTTCATGAGCACAAAGCCTATAGGGTTTCCAGACCAGGTTCACGTACGTACATCATCTGCATTAGATAGGAGTCAACAGGTCACTCTATTCCTGTCTCAGATTCCGGGACCGCCAGTTTCCTGACCCGCCAGTCAGGACATCTAATTTGAGCCTCTGTTTCTCTCTGGGATTGTTGAACCGTGTAAAGTTGGTGCGTTCACTGGGTTGAGCAGGGATTGGATAAGAACCCCCCCCAAGGGATCGGATTTACGGCGAATAGAAAAGGCGCTACACTTCAAGTTCAACTTCCAGCTATGGCCTGCTGCCAGTCCCACTGTTGGTGGTGGCGTTGGGTTGTCACACTCGCCGCATTCAACATGATATTCCTCTCCCTGGGCCCTCAATACAACTACAGTATCCTCTACGTGAGCCTACAGGCAGAGTTTCATTCTGGATCGGCATTAACAGGTAAAACTGCGTGAGTGTCGGCTTCATGCTGACCTCTTGCGAAACTGTTAAATGTACACTTTCAATCAGGTGGTCGTGCTGATGAGTACTGTACTTAACTGCAGTCAAGTCTTGTAAAAAACTTGGAGGGAAGAGACAAAATTGCTTCTTTATGTAACAAGGATTTCTTTACAACAAAGATGAGTTCTTTCTATGTTTTCCAGATCGGGAAAAACTTATTGGTTCTGGGTGATTGTCTTTAAATTTACGGCATTTTCATTTTTCATATTGAGCTTCTCGTTACTTCATTATGTAAAGTCGTCCACCTTTGTGTAAATATCCAGGTTGGATCGGCTCCTTAGCCGGGGCCTTATCCTGTCTGTGTAGCCCGTTCACTGTTCTGCTGGAACGCAAGCTGAGCAAACGGGCTGTCGTCAACCTCGGGATCGTCCTCTTCTGCGCCGGACTCATGACGACGTCCTTCGTGCCGGCCGTTGGCTACGCCTACTTGACATTCGGGGTCCTGGCGGGGGTTGGCTCCAACCTCATGTGTCATTCGTCCGTTGCGCTGGTGCTGGACTGGTTTGTCGGGAAGAACTTCTATCGTGCTAGCGTGTTTACTGTGTTGGGATCAACCTGTGGTACATTAACTGATTGTGTAAAGCTAAATGATAACTGCCATGTTGGCCGTTTATGCACAAAATTAAAGCACATCGAATACGCTTTTTGTTATGGTGCGCCACTTCCAGCCTTTTTCTATGACAAAGACGAGTTTTTGTGTGTTGTTCAGATCTATAAACCTATAGGCGTTAATTTTTGCTTGCTCAGATTAAACGGTTCAAACTTGGCGTTAATTCCTCAAGCTTCGTCAAGCGTTCCCAAACAATTTCTCTAGTATGGCTGACCGCTGATGGTATGTGCAACCGTTGCATTCATCCCTCAATGATTGGCGTCTGGGGAGACACCAACGAAATCGGGGCATGAAAGTCATAAAGGCCGCTTGAACCTGGACTCGTGGCTACATGTATATGTCAGCCATGTATTTTCAACATGATTATTAACAACTCTGTCTGGCGTCTCGTCTTCCTTTCCGTTGCATTGTTTCTCTCTCCAGGTATGCTGGTCTTCAGTCCCGTGGTGACGATTTGCATTACTCACTACGGATGGCGCGACGCTCTGCGAATTCTCAGCGGTGGGATACTGGCGGCGGGCCTCGCCAGCAGCGCGTTCCTGACCAACCCGCCTACCGAAGACTACGCCGCAGCCGCCGACGAGTCTCTGGAGAAGAAACAGGAAATGGAGACTATGGTTCCAGCTAAGAAAGATCCCGAGGGTTGTACCAAAGGGAAGAACAGTGGAGAGTGCGGAAGCAAGGATAATGAGACAAACGAGAAAGAAGAAAATATTGAGGAGGCCGAAGGCAATACTGTCAGCAATCCTGGATTTTTTGTTTTGATCAAGAGCATTGAGGTTTGGCTGTGGTTTATCGGTTCCGTTCTTGCATATACTGGGTGGACATTCTTCAATATCAATTTTGTAAGTGTACCTGAGCGCTGCTACATACATGAACAAGAGAGGGCGTGTTTTCTTCACCCATGAAACAACCTCTTGTTGGCAACTTATATTTTCTACAACCCAGGGACCACGACCAAGGACAGTGCTACATTCTAATTCTAATTGTTATATTCATGTGCAGTAAGATAACTCAGTGTATATGTAGGCCTACGAGATTTTATTCAAAATAACCCGCAAAAGGCTTATTACAGGCCAGCTTTAATGTTTTCCAAACTGTTCCCCAAACCTATCAACTTGCTTTTAGTGCATTTGACTATTACTCGACCTTTCCCGGTTCCTGCCTGGGGGTCAAAGGGAAGAAAAATCCAATAGAACTATATCCAACAAACAACGCATGCGCGTTACGCTCAGGGACGAGAAATCCCAACGTTTAGACCATTGACGCGTCAATTCCTGGAGCACTTTAATAACATAACTCACTGCAGCAGATACGAGGGTTTAATTGTGCGCATGATACACGCAAGCAAGTTATGGTTGATAGCTATACCCATGAGGCTCTTTGAGCTTTGTAATTCTTACCTAAAAAATTATGAGGAAGCAAGAATTGTCTGTCGGCATACACCTGTCTTACTGCGAAGAGGGTTTATGTTTGTGGCGTGTGTGAAGCAGTACTATCACTTTCACCAATCTCGAAATGGCAGAGTGACTTTTTCTGCCTTGCAAGCCCAGTGTTTTGCCATCATGAGTACAAACGAAACCTTCACGAAGTCCATATTATGCCCCATATAATCAAAAGTCAGCTTGTCTTTCTTTACAGGCCAGTTTCATGGAAGGGCTTGGCTTCAGCAGCAGCCAGGTAGCCTCTGTCATCATGTTTTTTGCTTGTGGGGAAATTGGCGGGAAAATCCTCATAGGTGTGACAGGAGATCGCCTGCCGTTCTTACGTGTGTACTTGATCTTTACGTCGTGTAGCCTGGGTGCTGTTTTACTGGGCCTACTGACAATCGTTGAGACTTTAACATCAGTTGTCATCGTTGCTGTTTGTAAGTTGATACCGTTGCCCTCTGTGATATCTCTGCTTTAGGTGAACAAGCTGACTCGGCTTAACTGATATACTTTCGAGTTGCACCAGCACACATTGAAAGTGCACCAAGGATTTCAAGTTTTGAAAGGAGTGAGAGGCAGACACTATTATCCCCAGATTTTCTCACATTCTATCTTTTTTCCCCCTTCGCTTTCGTTTTGCCGCTACTAGCAATATCACTCTAAACGAAATAAAAATTTAACACCCAGCAAGTTCGGTGTTGTAAATGTATATTGGCCTATGCACTACCAGACTCAACTTTTCAAATACGGACGTTTCACAATAGTGCGCGTCCAAGAGTTTGCAACTCGTTGGCCAATCACATCTGGAAAGGGCCGACAAATTTCGCGCGTTCTGATCGGCTAACGCGTTGCAAACTCTTGGTGGCGCAACTATTGTGAATCGTTCATATTCGTGATAAACATTCCTCGCGGCGTTTCAAAAACTTTGGACTGCAGCCAACTGGATTGTGTCCAACTTTTGTGGTTTGCGTTTGCAGACTAGGCTACTCTTGAACTAGTAAACGCTTAATCTCCTTGTGTTTGTCCTCCAATCATAATCAGCCTATCTCTGGTATGCGCCGTTATAACATCAAATCCGTTGTCTTGTTTTTCCCCAACAGTGTCTGGCGTTCTGCGTTCTGGTCTGTACGGTGCAACAATCGCAGCTGGAGAGCAATTGTTTTACCAGACTTTTGGCGCCAACACTGTCATGGTGCTATCCTTTGTTCCTTCGGGGGTCGGAACATTGATAAGTGCCCCTCTATCAGGTGAAGCCTGTGCTTAAACTTAAAGTGTAGCATTTCTCTTTGCCATCTTTCTCTGCAATTTTACACTCTTGTCCAATGTATGAAAATTTTTTGACATGTGGAATGTATAAAATAGGCTATTATTTAAAAAAAATTCCCATGCTTTCCTGGACCACTTAGTGCGCTGTTGCTGGGATTTCATCTTGGGAAGAGTTCGTTTCTGTGCATGAATCTTTCTTTTCCAAGGGTGAACCCAAAGTTAACTCCATAAAAACATTTATGAGGAAGTGTGGTATACTTGCGTATTGCACAACAGTGAGGCACCCAAGAAGAACATTCTGAGGCCAGTGAAAAAAAATCTTTTTCTAAATTCAGCAGTGTTTTGTGTACAAACTAATGCAGTATGTTTAGATTCTCTTCCTGGAATGACATCACAGTTCTGCTTATGAACATTTACCGTAAAAACAACGTTTACAGTTTAACGACTTTTTGTACCCACTTTTTCCAACGTTTAACCTGTGACATCTTTAGTAAAATGTGTTTAGGTATGTGTTTAAATGCTTAACATCTTTTCCGTTGTTCATGTTTGGCTTTTTGAAATCTACTGAGCATGTAAACACATTCCTAAACGCATGACATTAAACATGTTGTGATTAAACATGTTTTCAAAAGTGGGTTTAGAAATGTTTAAAACTCTAAGCACTTTTTAGAATGCCCAAAAGGCAGCATAACACCCTTTAAAATAGTGAAACAAAATTTAGAAATGATGTTTAATGATATGTAAAGGTGCATGTTGGAGGTCTGCATTTCAACAATTGCACCGCTGCCACCCTTTAAGCTCTCTCAACCAGCAAACGAGCAATTATTTTCCAGTAGAACTCCATGTATAGAAACAATCTCAACCTTGCGAGACGTTGTGTTCTTTAGATATTGCAGTAACCTACTTCGTGCCATATTCCATCGTTATTTGCGCCGAGTTGATTCCTGTTTCACTGGGCGGATAAACTCTTCAAAGCAGCATGGCATATAATTATTTTCCCATTAGCACCCGTGACACATTTGGATGTTTCGAAATGCGCCGTCGATCTTTCCACAGGCTGCGTTGT